TTTTACGAAAAGTTGAAATCTGGACGCCACACCAGGACGACTTCTTACTTCGGGATATTTTCATTTGGTTTATGTAACTATATAGAGGCTCCGTGCTCGTATTTCACTATTTTACGAGATCCCATTCAGAGGGTCATATCGTGGTACTTTTATTGCCAGGATGAGACAAAAGACGCAGTCTGCAAAGTTGCAGACGCACGAAGGCACACCATCCACGAATGGGTATCTATCATTGGCAACGCTATGTATTTTCAGTTTCTACACAACTCTACTTTCTGTTCGTCTTCCTACTACACGAAAGCTATTGAACAACAATGGATAAAAAATGTAGGAATGATCAGACATGTTGAGATACCCATGCCTTGCTGGTACAAACAAAGGGTTGTGATTGAGGATATTCTTTCAGAGGATGAAATGAACCGACACCTTCATGTCATAATAGCAAACTTAGAAAATTGGTTTTCGGTGATTGGTCTGTCCGAGAAATATGACCTTACTCTGCAAATGCTAGAGGCAGCGTACGTAGGCCATACTACGAGATATGCTCTACGAATAAAAATAATATAGGCAAGTACAACAGTTCTCTTGATATTCGTGAGTTAGAAACACAACTGAGGAACGATGCTCACATTAAGAAAATCTTATCCAAGGATTTAGAGATATATGATGCAGGAGTTAGAATTTTTAACAACCAGATAAAAAAAATGAAAACCTGAGTGAATTGCTCATCACATTCTAGGCATAACCACTCGAGAATCGGTATCATATTAAGATTTCACACATATGTCATTAGGAGTAGATTTTTGTCATATTTCCTCAAACCCTGCAAATAAAAGTGTGCATGGAATCATGGGAAGAAACAGTGTGCATTGCCGTGTGATAACTGTCATAAAGGTGATTGACAGGTCATACTTGCTCACAACTCTGGAAGGACAACTAAAGTCTACCAGGTGTGCTTGTGATTTACGTAACAAAGGACGTTTACCACTCTGGAAGGACAATTGGAATCAACCATGTATGCTTGTGATTCACATAACAAAGGATGTTTACTATCTACTGACTTGCCTACATGAGACATCTGCTACAGGGGCGTCGATCCATTCTGAAAAGTGAGGGGGACACTTTTGTGTTCGCGTAAGCGGCCAATGTCCGCGCTTGCGCGAACAGAGGGGTCTGAGAAGGAGGGGACTGCCCTATGTTCCGACAAATATCTATGTTCCGACACCACTATGTTCCGAAACCCCTATGTTCCGACACACAGTATACTTGTGTCAACTTAATCTGACTAGCAGTGCGTGACCTTTTACTACCTTGATATAACCAGGATGTCCTGTGGGTTAATACTGGAAATCCAAATGTAGTGTAGTCCGGCCATGATGCTCAAAAGTCCGTGAAGGTGGGATCTTGCATAATGTTATTGGATAATTATTAGAGAATTGTCAAACATTGTTGCCCATTGTATCATTCTAATACTTCGACAATTATTTGACAATATCTGTTGGATGTGGTTCCGACCTTAAATCCTCCGTTTGCCTAACTATCGAAGTTTTAGATCGATAATTATCAGAGAATTATTTTACCTTTTTAATGAAAGTCGCAGAATTGCAAGGATGCCGTTTACATCCGGTAGCACCTTTCCAAGTTTATCTACATATTAATTAAAATCATTTATTTATTTATTATGCGAGAGATAAATAGGCACTGCATTCCGTAGTGTCTGCACAAGTTTTTGAGATTGCAAAAAAATACAAAGGTTTCACACTATCTCTTTACATTCCTATATTGTGTGTTTTCGACCAACATTCCTTGTTTACCTCCACACATTATACATTTTCCTATCAATCTAAGGCATTGATAGCTCTCAGAGAATTCCATGTTTAAAAAAATTGAACCACCACCCAGCTGTGGACCCTGTCTAATATCAATCTTAAACATCGAGAATTATCAGATAATTCAAATGTACAATA